TGCCGATAATATGAAAGAAATCCAGCCTTCAAGCATAGCAGACACCATTTTTATGATGTAGACAGCAAAGCTCAAAGGCATAGTCATACCCATGCTCTTCTCTATTTAATCTAATTATCTGTATTATTTGAATTTAAAGAGCAAACCAAACTAAATAATAATAGAAAAGTGAATAAAGTGGTCACCTTATGTACTAGAACTATTATTATTTTCTCCTCCTCCTCCTCCTCCTTCAAATGAGAATCACAAATGGTAGTAAAGACTTTTGTTGAGCAGAATATATCTTTCTTTAGCAGCAATGATGTTTATTTTGTGGCCTTTAACTAGGTTTTAAGCAAGTGGGGGACTTTGCCTTACTTTTATACTTGTGGCCCCATCTTTAATTAGATTCTATCTACCAATATTTAGTTGAAACAATTAAGTTGTATCTAACTAAATGTCCCCTTTTAGATGCTAGTTATTAATGCATTTAATATTTGTTGACGTGTCTGACAATGTGACAATGGCAGGATGGAATTCAATTCCAATCAGAATGATGATTTTTCTAAGATTGTTGCTGTGGGGACTCAAAATATGGGACCAAAGGAGGGGACATGTGAGGTGTCCCCTCCCTATTACATAATGAGTTGGTCATGCGAACTCATTATGCAATAGGGAGGGGACACCTTACCTGTCCCCTCCCTTGGTCCCATATTTTGGGTCCTTGAGTCATTTTTCTTTTTCTAGTATCAACGTTGTAGAATAATTCGTCGACGTCTTTATGGCCATATTTTGCAATCTTTTGCTTTGATATTATCCCGGAAAGGTTACTTGGTACAGATAAAATGGATCCGGGTCATCTCCATTATTTAAAAGTAGTGGAGAGATCGTTGTTTTTCTTATAACTGATGATTAATTAATGAAAAAGTTTTATGATCTGTCTTATTGAGTATAAAATAGAAATGAATGCAATTTATAGGGATATGATAAAGTGTTATTAGGAGCGGATCTACAGTGGGAGTAGTGTATGCAACTACCCCCACTGACCTCCACCCTGAAGCCTAAAAAAGAAAGCCTGTTAAGTTTTATTTTTATTTTATTTTTTGTACCAAAGGTTATTGGGTCCAAAAGAAAAGAAAACCGGAAAAAAGAATGAGGAAGGAGATGAATAATTACATTTTGTAGGTGTTTGCTAATTTGGAACTAAAGTTTGGTGTAGGTTTCGTCTTTTTGTATGTCAAGAAGTACATAATTCACGTTAGGGCACTTTACGGTGTTGGTTGTTCTTTGGAAAAAGTTCGTCTGTTTGTGTGTGGGTGGGGTACGTGTTTGTGTTCTCTGTTTGGCTGATTATCACCTAAATACACTATGATTTTGCATTTATGTACCCATACCTGTTTTTTACGGCACTAATATACGCTAAAGTTTCTAAAATGCACACTTTGGTTCTCTATGTTGTGTAAACATGAGAAATTTTCCGCAAATTTTTCTATGTGACACTCACAAGATAATTTTATATCCCTTTAGCTCTTAATATTTATTAAATTTACTGTTGCATCCACCATAATTCAATTTTAAAATATAATAAGGATAATTTTAAAAGAGGGTTGGGGTAATGTTTAGCAGTAAATTCAAGAAATAATAAGACTTAAAATATTCTAACATTAGATTATGCATGTCATTTGGAAAAAATAAAGGGAAAATTCTCACGTGTGCATAATAGAAGGTATTAAAAGTGTAATTTTTAGAAACTTTAGCGTATATAAGTACTGCCTAAAGTGTGCGCGGATATATATAAGTGCAAACTAGGAGAAACTATAGAGTATATAAAGAGCTATAGATTAATTGATGGAAAGGCATGGTAAAGATGATTTGCATATAATATTGATTTACTAAGATTGCTTTTGAGAAAGAAAATAAAGTGATGACTAAAGAAAGAAACAAAAAAAAAAGATAAAAGATAAAAGATAATTGAGGTTAGTTGAATTCACTCATATACTAGTTACATTGTAGTCTTGCCTCTACTGACTAAAGTTTCTAGATCCATACCTGAATGTTATTTTTGAATTGATTACAATTGTTGTTGCGCCCAGCGGAAGCGGACTCAAACCACAACGAGTCGATAAGCAACGAACGAAGAACACCACGAGCACAATCCACAATAAAACGATCAAAATCAATCACAAATACAGAGATATACGTGGTTTGGCAAGTTGCCTACGTCCACGGGGAGAGGATAGGGAGATTTTACTATAGAGAGGAGAAATACAATGTGTTACAACTCTCAAACAATCACAATAACTCTAACCAACAAGATCTCACTCACCCTCAAAATTCTCCCTCTCAACGTGCTCAAAAGTCTCTGATAATAACCCTCTCTCTAATGATAAACCCCTAAAAACATGTCTTTAATATATAAAACTCTAAACCAAAACAAACTGGGAAACAGATATATCTGTTTTGCTCGCTATCGATCGAGTGATAGGAAGCCACCGGTCGACCAGTAGGTCTTCATCGGTCGATCGATATGGATTCATAGATCGACTTTCTAGTGTGGCATTTTTCCATTCCTGTAGTGTGCACATATCAGTCGACTGATAACTTCTATCAGTCGACTGACCAGAGTTTTTCCTGTTCTATGTCTTTTTTAACATTATTTACCTTTTTTAACAATTCTCCACCTCGACGAAGTGTTCCCAAAACTGAGCCAACACAAACAAGAGCACCAATGTGTCATCTCACAAATCCGGCTGCGCCAATGTGGTTGCCTACATATACCCTCTCCCAATGGATCAAGCTGCCCGAGTTCTTCCAAATAGCCTCACCAGGCCTCAACAAGCACAAATCTACAATAAGTTTCTACAGTGATCGAACTTGCTGCTAGAGACCACCTTCGTGAGCATATCTGCTGGATTATCTTTTGTGTGGACCTTCACGAGCTCCACATCCCCGTATTCAAGAACATCCTAGACAAAGTGATAGCGAACATCGATGTGCTTTGTCCTCGCATGGAACACTTGATTCTTCGCCAAATAGATATCATTCATGCTATCACAATGAATGGTTACAGACCGCTACGAAACACCAAGGTCCTCCAAAAGTCCTATAAGCCATATTTCCTCCTTAATATCCTCTGTAATCATCATATTGACAAAGTAATTGTAGACTACAAGGTGCATTTCCAACACACCAGCGCACGGGTCAAAGTTAACACATACCCCGTCGTCGATCGGCACTTGTCCAAATCTCCAGCATAATCGGAATCTATGTATCCAATGCATAAATGTCCACCACCAATTACCTACTCAAATATCAAACCAACATTGAGAGTACCTCGAATATACCTCAATATCCACCTTACAGCATCCCAATGACCCGGACCCGGGTCGTGCATGTATCATGAAATCATGCTAACTTCCTGTGATAGATCTGACCTTGTACATACCATTGCATACATTAAACTTCCCATTGCGCTTACATAAGGAGTCTTAAACATCAACTCTCTATCTTTAACTGACTTCGGCGAAAGATCAGCTGAAAGCTTCAAATGAGCTCCCAAAGGTACACTAACTGGCTTCGTTTCCATACTAACATTGAATCACTGTAACACCTTTTTCAAATAAGTTACATGTGTTAAACAAATTTTACTCTTATCTCTGTCTCGTTGATCTTCATCCCCAAAATGCGCTTTGCTTCACTCAAATCCTTCATTTCAAACTCACTAGAAAGCTGTATTTTTAATTTATCTATGGCGGATCTGGAAATGAAAGCAACCAACATTTCATCGACATAAAGCAATAAATAAATGTACGCACCTCCATAAAGCTTGTGACAATACACACAAGGATCAAACTGTCTCCTTATGTATTACTTGCCGAGTATAAACCCATCGAATTGCCTATACCACTGTCTTGGAGATTGCTTCAACCCGTATAGCGATTTCTTCAATCTACACATCAACTTTTCATTTCCTGCAGCTCGAAACCCTAATGACCGAGTCATATAAATTTCTTCATCAAGATCACCATGAAGAAATGTTGTTTTTACATCCTATTAATCTAATTCTAATTCATACTACGTGATACGGGTGTATCTTCTCTTCGGAACTTAGCGATCCTCATGAGAGCTTGAGGATAGAAGATTCTCATGGTAGCTTGAGAATAGAGGTGCAAAACAGCACAGTGGAATGCAGGTTGAAGCATGGAACGAAAATGCGAATTAAAGAATCGAAGCATCCAGTTTTCAGCCAGTGAATAGACTCATAACAGTCATGAGTCGACTCATCAGGTTGAGTCGACTCATCAGGTTGAGTCGACTCATGCCTGTCATAAGTCGACTCATGAAACTCAGTCGTTTTATCAAAAGTCTCTGACCAGTCGACTCATTATTGTATGAGTCGACTGTAAGGACCATGAATTTTTAATACTAGTTAAAATAATTTTTTGGTATTTTAAAATATTTAATTATTATTTTTAAAAGAGTATTTGTATTTTTCTTGATTTTCTATAATTTTTTATGATTTAAAGTTCAAGATTTATATTTATTTAAATGATTTTGATATTTATAAATTAACTTAATACAGTCAAATTTTTTGGAATTTATCTGTTGCGTTATTGATATTGTTATATGTCATTTTGAATAATACATTGTATTATTTTTGTTATTACGTATATTTTTATATAATAATTTTGTATAATTTGTTGTATTATTTCTACTGTTGCATATTATCAGTTGTATTAGTATAAGTTGTACGTTTTATCGCGTAGATAATTATCCTATAATTATTTGATTTTAAATATAAATAATTATATTTTTTTATTAATTATTCTTGTTTAATTGTGTAATTTCTTGTATTATTTCTACTATTGTATATTATCGGTTGTAATATTACAACTGGTACGTTTTGATGTGTAGATAATTTTTACGTAATTAATTATTTTTTTTGTGATTATTATTATTTTTAATTAATTTTTAAAAACCTAATTTTTCTATATATATATATATAATATATATATATAAATATATATATATATATATATATATATTAAAATTCATTATTTCTCTCCCTCTTCTTCTCCTGTTCAACGAAAACAGCCCGCCGCCCCATCTCTCTTCTTCTCCTTCCTCTCTCCTTTGCGCCCGACCAGACCCACCGCCGGCCTCCTCATCTGCCGTGCCACCCGTCGGCCGCCCTCACCCTCAACCACCTCCATCTCCCCGCCGCCGCATCCTCCTTCTCACGCTCTCTCCTCCAAGCCGAGCTCCTCCCCCTGTTCTCAGATCGAGCGCCGCTCTCCTCTTCCCCGTCCTCCACATCGCAGCCCTTCCTCCGACCGCCGCTCCCCTCTCTCTATCCTCTCCTCTTTCCCGACGACGAAACACACGCCGTGCTAACACCGCGTCCCCAGCCCCTCTCCATCACCGCCTCATCACAGCCTCCATCTGCCCCACCAGATCTCCAGCGCTGCAACCCTCCCTCCGCAGCATCGCCGTCAGTCCCGACCAAGCCCTCCTCTCCGCGGCCGCTGCCCTCTGACCCGACGTCCCAGTAGCACACCGCAGCTGCCTCCTATGCCCCATCTCCTCTTCGACGCGCACGCCGCCGCTGACTGCCAACCTCCTTCGTTGCCGTCGAGCTCCGCCTGACGAACGCTAACCCGGCCGTTCGTTTTGACCCTCCCTCAGGATCCGCCTGAAGCTCTCGTCGCCGAGTTCCTACCGTCTGTAACTCACCGTCGTCACGCGTCGTCACACCGACGCTCGCCGAGGACTTGCACGTCAAAGTTAATTTATTCGACATACCCGAGGCAAGATCTCTCTTGCTCAGATCTGAATTTTATACCTGTTATAAATTATCTGCATATTTTAGTTGTGATATGATTATTATGCATGGATTTGTTGTTGAATGGTATTAAAGAATTTTTAAGGGAATTATTTTGCAAAATAATTATTTGAATTAATAAGTTATTATTTTAAAATATTATTTTAGAATAATTATTATAAATTAAAAGAATTTAATTGTGAAAAGAATCATTTTAGGAAAATTATTAAATTCATGGAATTGATATTTATAATTCATCGTGCACTGTTGTTCTCATTCACATTCATGATTCCCGACTCTGATACACAATATTAATGGCATTTATACATTGTTATAGTTGAGAATCGCGAGTATTGCTTGACCATAGTGACCCGTGAGATATGAGTTGTTGACTTAGACTTGGGATGGAAAGGTCTGGATTCATGTTATCGGATATGTTTATTTTTTATTTCCAAGCTCGCACCAGTGAACCGTTTCGCACTAGGGTGGGTCTGAGGAGCAGTTATCGGATGTGTTCATTGTTTATTTTCAGGCTCACACCAGTGAACCTTTTCGCACTGGGGTGGGTCTGAGGAGCGGTGATATTGTGATTATTGATTATTTCCAGACACGCACCAGTGAAACGTTTCGCACTGGGGCGGGTTTGAGGTACTAGTGAGATGTGGTTGTTAACCAGATATCTGACAATATGAACTTTGACTCTAGTGAAACGTGGACCAGGGAGATGACATAGGATGACTAGTTACATGACCTCGTTATTTAGATGATTTTAGATTCTTGTGAGATGTAGGCCAGTTGTATTTCTTTTCATATATAGATCAGGATTAATATTTAATTATCTACAATTTAAGACATATGGTATATACATGAGGGTTTCCTTATTTGAATTATTTCGCTCGACGTACTACGTCTCATGTTGTAGATTTTTAGGTATTAATTTTATCTATTGTATGCCCCTGTTACTTGGATGATTAGACTGATCGCTAGCTGCATGATCTTGTTATCTGATAGATTTTGGATGCTTTATGTTTATCATGCTTTAGTAGTGTTTTCACATGTTAATTTTGTCAGATTTCTAGTTGCACGTTCTTTTGTCATTTCTATTATCGTATCATTTTCTGCTGGGGTCACTACAACAAAATACAACATTGTCGATGAAACAAAAACATTGGCAAAAGTTTAAAAAACGTCGGGAAAAATCTTTCCTGACGCAAAATGCAGCGTCGCTAACACGTCACCAAAAGTGCGTCAAGGAAAGTATTTGGCGACGCAAATACATTGCATCGCCAAAAGTACACTTTTGGCGACGCGTCATGCGTCGGGAAAAGTATATCTTTTAGCGACGCATAATATTTTACGTTGGCAAAAGTATACTTTTGACGATGCATGCAGCATCGGCAGAAGCTATGCGTCGGCAAAAGTATAGCTTTTAGCGACGCAAAATTGTTCGTCACTAAAAACTATACTTTTGGCGACGCAAATTAGTGTCGACAAAAATGCAGCTTTTAGCGACGCAGAGTGAAGCGTCGCTTAAAGCTATACTTTTGGCGACACAAAATAGCGTCGCTAAAGGCTATACTTTTACCGACGCTAGATAGCGTCGGCAAACGTATAATTTTTGGCAAGATTATGCGTCGGTAAAAAGTATAATTTTGTCGACATTAATTTGCATCGCCGAAAGTAACATCTTTTCTGTCAACTACAAGCCTACACTGAACCTGAACATCCATAAAAAATTTGCTCCCATTCACATCAACAAAGAAACCAAACATCAAATTATACTCCAAACAAGTTGCATATTATAATAAACAAAGAATTTGCTCCTATTGCAAAATAATTACATTCATTTTTATTTCCAAGTCAATACTCAAAGGCCTGTTTAAATATTCCAGTTTGTCATATTCAGTGTTTTCCATTTCAGAGAATGACACATTATAAGATTTACAGGAAACAAAACTAAGTTGAAAAAAAGAAAACATGAAGTGAAAGAACGGCACGATCAGTGAACCTCTTCACATATGAAGGTATATTCTCTGGTAGAGTTTTTGCGACTCTGTCTAACTCCTGCATTTGTTGCTTTGCAGTCACTCTATCAGGGCCATAGTACATATCCATAAGCTCTTTCATGTGTGGTAGCCTTTCCATCAGTGCTTTGATTATTTCCTGTTAGAGAAAATGCAACGTCAGATTATCAGCTACATATATATAGCTCAAACAAATACTACCATATATTTTCTAGGAAATGTACTATAATAATAATTATTTTTTGTTATACAGCAAGGAGGGTGCTCTTAAGTGCATCAGCTATAGGCATGGATTCTCTGGCTTTGCGGCAACTCTCACAGAATCTCAAGCAAAAAGAGTTGCAGGTACAAAATTGAAATCATCCTATTAATAGGTTTCCCAGCCAAGTTTAAATAAGCAACTCTTACTGTCTTGCATGTCTTGAATAGGCTTCCTTATCCAAGTTAATGTTGTTGACACTAAAAGAAAGGAGGGTAAATTGATATTTTTAAACGTTAGGGGGATTTTCAGTAATTTACCCCAAAAACACATAGATAACAAAAGAAGGTATAGAATGGCCTAAAGATAAAATTAAAAAAGGATGAATAAACATTAGAAATATGAAAACCACCTGTATGATGTTCAGAATGAAATTTAACAGAGTAGGAATTGCTCTGTTGATATGCACACACACAATGCATTTTGAGGACCCGCCTAAGGAGGGGAAAGGGAAACCACAATCCAAGGTGCCACATGCAATAAGTATATTTATTCCTACTCAATACATGAATAGGCATGTCCTCCCTTGTCATGACCCATGAGGTTCATGTTTATGACAGTAACATGAACAACAATGAGAAAAGCCTAAAACTCGGACAAAAGCAAGCAATTAAACTTCTGTTGTGTAGTTGCAATGGAAAGAAATTGCAACTACAGGTGAAATTGTTCCTTGGAGAGTGATATTGTAAAAGTAAAGGGCAGTAACTCTCTCGTGCCTTAATTTGGCTGCAGCCTGCAGGTGACTCCAACACAATTGCAGAAGGAGGTGTTAGTAGTCCAGTTTGAAGAGAG